TATATATACAGTGTATTTTATATATATATATATATAGAGAGAGAGAGAGAGAGAGAGAGAGCTTATATCGGTGTTGACTTTTCAAAGTCAACTTCTTGGGCACCTGATGGCATCTAAGTACTTATTTAAAAATGTATAGTAACACTAAATGCAGTTCATCACTTGCAACTACTACTATTAAACAGGAGTCAAGTCTTTGGTTTTGATGCGGTACTTAAAAGTTCAGGCAAAACTCCTTCTAAAATATATTTTCCCCAAGCCCTTATTTGTTTATATTTATAAAATAACCTATAGTAAAATGTTCCTTTTTAGAAAAGTCAGTTGACTGCCAATAATATCAATGCCAATGATTCGGGTGCTCAAACAATTCCATATTTCCAAGTACATAGGGACATATTGTAAACTGTTTATTTCACCAAAATCAACTGATAAAAAAAATAGTTTATAAGAAATGTTGTTTTAGTGATGCTCTTTACCAAAATAGTGTTTTCTTTCTCATAGGTGCTTCAGCTCTTTTGCTGTATGATCGAGCTTTGAATAAAACCCCTTCTTTCTCTTCTGCAAATGACTTTCTGCTAGTGTGAAAGGAGTTCTGAGTATACACAGTTAAAGGGATAGATCCATCGGGTCTTTCCATCTGGAATTGCATATGGCTTCACTTTTGTAAGAGATTATTGCAGTCTGCCCTGAAGTGGACCATGATGCCACTTCACTACAACAAGAAGTGGGTGTAACCTTCTGCTCCAGTAACTATAACATCCATCCAGATCCGCATGGCTTCTGGAGATGGGGCCACCATATAGTAGATTCTGTCATGTGTCTTGACACTAAAGGTGAGTAATGGATTAGGACTCTAAAATCAGAAAAGGAAATGATTGTAAAACACACATCTTGAAATTATAACATTAAATAATACAGACATATGTGAGGGCTTCTTCCTCTTTAAAAGTTCCAATTTATAGAAATCTATGAAGGCATTACTTTTGCTCTAGTATAACCTGTGCCCTCATTCCAGCACTTTTCTCAAGATTGACTATCTTTCTGGCCTTTTGGCGCAAGAAATCTGACACAGAGAGCACACACATCCTCTTAGCAGCTACTTTGTAAAGCTCTAGCAGGGCACCAACCTGAGAGTTGGGTACTCAAAAAATCATAGGTATTATTTTTAGTCCCACCAAGATCTGTCCTTATCGCCAGGTGATAACTCCTTCGAACCATAGCGAAGAGTCACTTACAGGGTCCCCCAAGCCTGTATGTCCAGAATATTTCCTCACTTCACGATGACATTATTATTTTTTACCAGATCATCTGTACTAATTACTTCTGTTTACTCTTTCAGCACCATTCTGATCTTATTTATCCATTATGTCAGAACAACAAATTTAAATTGCTTAGAATAAAAACCCCCCACCATTTTCCCAACTTAATTATGCATTCAAATTTTAGGAATCTGGAAATGAATATCTACCTTATTAGCATTCTTGAGGTGATCATAATATACTTCTTCAATGGCTTGAAAGTATATTACTCCTTTTAATTTAGCTTCATGCTTGTCTGAAATGATAGATGAGTGTTAAATACTTTATTACCATTGACAGCAAATTATAATTTCATTATAGTCATTAAAATATTTATCTAGTATTTAAATCACCTAAGATTGATTTAGATACTCTGGGTTAGTATATTATCCTAGTTTTATGTTGAAAAAAAAAAAAGAGTAAGAAGATGGAATTATCAGCCCAAACCTAAGGATCTAAGTAACTTTGTCCAAGGTTCTCCAGCAAATTATCAGGCAATAGATAACTCAGAACTACTGACTCTCAGGTTTGCATGCAAAGTATAAATACCATTGAGAAAGAAAGATCCAAATTATTTCCCCACATTGT